ATTTTAAGCGAGACTTAAAATTCTATCTATCTCGTTTTAAAGCCGAAATGGAGACAGAGACAGAGATAGTTTAAGTTTCGCTTAAAATCGAAATCACGTTGGTGCAATCAGTCCTAAATCACTTTAGAGACATTTGAATATCAATTTCACTTCTTTGTTAAAGTTAGAAAAATTTGTTCCATCAAAGATACGTTATTCTTTCCCATTTTACTATCAAATAATCTGAAGATAATTATGACAATCATTATTCATATCGCATAATGATTTAACTGACCTTTTCATCGTGATGGATCTCCAACACAAAGTTAATCATAGAGCTTTTTGCGTAATGGATCGTGGAATTGATTTCCGCTCCCCATTTTGTTTAAACTCACTGTTTTAAACCATTTTTTTACCCAAATCCATACGTATACAGGAAAATATTTATAAATGTTATAAATAATGTTTAAACAAAATAAACAGATTGTAAATAAAAAACTTTTCTTAAAGTAATAATAGAAAATATCAAGAGCGGTCCACAAATTATTACTTACGTAATTCAGTACTATAAATTTATAGATGTATAGTACAATCACAATATCATAAATAACATAAATAATAATTTAAATTGAAATATAGTTCATAATGCGCAATATTGATATATCAATATAACAACGTGTTGATGCATTAATATAATTAGTATAGATTATTATACAATATTTAGTTGCTATAACACGATGTTCATCAATTAATACATAATTCAAATAAATGCTTTTATAAATCTTAGATATCTAATTGCAAAACAGAGATAATATGTATAATAAATAGTAATGTGTCTTAGATTATGAAATAGATTACAGAATGTCATACAACTGTATGCGCACTTGATGGGCATAATAAGCTATTATAATGCCATTGTGTATCTGCGCTATAATGTGAACGTAATCCATATGCATGCACTATTTATCACTCTCTCTAAACACAATTATAATTCCAGTTTAAAATGTATTCACAGATGTACGTTAAAATGCAGGAGCACACATCGAGCAAATGTGTTTTCTTGTTATAAATCATATCCTCTCTCATCATAATTTATATTAATCATAGAATAATTTATATCACATCGATAATTATTGACGAAAGAACGGTGGTCAAGTTATATACATGTATACGGTGATAAGCGAGAACAGATTCATCGACGTGCTAGCTATAACAGAATTCGATAAATGTACATCAACACATAGAGAAAATAATTGTATGCGAGCGCCATAATTAAATTATTAATTAAATTACAGAAGCGTTAATAATAAAGGTAATCAACTAGAGAATATTAATAAAATGCACTTCCGTACGTATAATTAACAATAAACAGGCAAATTGTTTTCTTGAAACAACACACTTTATTTTAAGGAAAAAGTTCTTTCTCTTACTGAGATTGCGAGAGAAATTACGAATATCTGAAAAGCTATATAAATATTCTAAAGAGGGAACTTTTAAGAGAGAAAAATCAAGAATTGAAGAGATGCTTGCGAGAAACAACCAAAAACTAATCTGTCGATTTGCCTCCGTTTTATTAATTTTTTTTCTTTCTTAATACTAATTGGTATTCACCGCTTCAATGAATTTTTTAATTATGTTGTGAAAAATTGTTTATAACAAATATTTTTCATAACCTTACATAAATAATTTTAAATTACATAAGCTTATGATTTGCATTTTAATCTTTAAAATAAATAAAATTGTTCAATTATATATATATTAACTTTGAGCAAAGATACATTTAAAGCATTAGTGACGCGCTAATATTATAATTAAAAAAATTTTAGAGCGAATATCAGTCAGGGTTAAAAATCATAATTTATTCATATCGTAATTATATGTTGTATAATGCTTAGTTGTGTGAATATTTCAATCAAAAATTGTACACATTTTATTTATTTATTTATTTTTAAATAAATCTTGCTTACAATTTGCATAAAAAAAGATTGCAAAGTAAATAGTCTTATATTTCTATTCGATATTAATCACGACTGCAAAAAAATTAGAACGAGGAAAAAGTATAATGCAGTAGGAAGAATCACCTCATGCAATAGATTCGTATGAAAAAACGATAAAAATTATTAACATTTAAATTGGGGCACGCCAGTAGAATCAACATTTATTCTTAATCCCTTAGCACGGATTACCGTGTCTTGTTCTCGGACTTATTCTTCACGACAAAGAGAAATATTGTTCATTTTTACGTTTCGTTAATTCGCAAACAGAATATCGTACAATTTAATCAACATTAAAAATTCCATTTTATTTTTAAGATAAACTAAAGTTATACCATAGTCGTAATAGAGCATTTCCGCCGCGTATTTTATATTCTAACATCATATGTTTGACTACAATATGTAAAAAGTTTCTCACAGAAAGTGTTACGAGAGTTACATCAGGGCTCTCGTTATCGTTTTGAAACCACTATCTCCGCGAAAGCCACTTGCCTGCGCGCGCTAGACATAAATAGAAAATTCCATTACATTGGGATATAAAAAAAGCACAAGAGAGAAAGAGAGAGAAAGGAAGGAAGAGAGAGAATAGAGGGCGCGGATTTTTTCTACACGCGAGCATATTCCATTGTTTGATAGCTCGCACGAATATCGATTGTAATAGCGCTGTGTGACGTCGCCGAACGAGGATTGAATGTGTCCAACTGGAACAAAGCCTCGCCCGTCTCGCTTATCATACTTTAACACCAATGAAAGAGTCGCGATGAAGTTTTTCAATGAGAAACAGAAGCTGCGAGGGGAAACAGCTGCTTGAGAAATTTCACATAGGTAATTAATTATGATTTATAAAGCAAATATTAAACAAAATTTGTAACAAACAATATTTTTCGTAAAAAAGACAAACAGAAAAGTTGATTTGGATAACATTGCCTACACCTACTTCAATTATTTTATGTGAGACATGACAAAAGAGATAATATATACAGTTACGTACAGTTTAATAAACAAAGTTTGTTTCTTTAATTAACGGTTATTTCAACATTATTACAACAAAAGCCCAAATATAATCACATTATATTAGTAAAATTAATCAGATATAATAATTAAGATCAATATAATGATATGTAAATAATAAGAAAGTTATCTCGTATCTGTTTTAACAAGTGAGTCGTCGATCAAAAGATCAGACATCTGACAGATTAACAATCATTCCCATCGTTATCGAGTCAATTTACTGTCATCGATCCTGATGATGTTTTTACGAATTTTTTACACGAAATATCACTGGCACTTTAATAATCAATACCAGATGACGTTTTTATAAAACAATACGTTTCAAAATTTTTACATGATAAAAGTTTTCTAAAATTTTGCAAAAAATAATGAGAAGATATATAAAATGATTAATAATACAAAATTTTTATGAAAAAAATTCAGTCAATAAAATAAAAACTTTTTATTTAATGATAAATTCAAAATTAATTTAATTTTTAGAATTTTATTTTATACGCTAAGTTATTAAATTATCCAATAATAAGAAGAATGTGAAAAATGAAGCAAAGCAATGAAATATTTGTCGAGAAAATATTTATATTAATTTGTATAAAAGAATTTGGCTGTAAAATATTTACCAAGCAATTCAATAGTACTTCGTATATTAGATTTAAGATATTTTAGAAGTTATCTTTGATATCAATGCAATTTACAATAAATTACTGCAAACTTATGCTATTAAAAAATTTAATTATATTGTTTTTTATCTATAATTTACATTTACATCTATAATTTACATCCAATTTATATTTGTTTTACATATCACAATAGTTTAATACAATACTGTAAATAAGCAAGAAATATGTATCCCTTTAAATAATATACAATAATAAATATTATTTTATTTAATGATAAAGGATAAACATGTTTTTTATTCAAACACGTTATATTTTCTTTTACTTTTACTTTGTATATGTGTACTCCCATTTTTTCTGTCATTCCTTCTGTTCCATATTTAATTTTAAATATTATGTTAATATTAAAATAATAACCGATTTATATTTATTATATTTTATTGTATTTTCTATATTTTATAACCGTGAATAAAAAAATCAAAGTTATTATATGAAATGAAAACAAGGATAGATATTACAATATAAATTAGACGGGATATTCATTCTTTTTTCTATCAGGCAGTAGGTTAATGTTATTTTATTTTTGATCTCGTTTCAAAATATCGACTTAAGCGTCGCTCAACTGTAATCAACTGTAATCATTTAGAGAGAATTGCGCGTATCCCAAAGAGCTTAGAATTTAGGAACCCGGAATCTATGCATTTCTCAAACAGAAACTGACGCCGTCTTTCATTGGGTACGCAATCGAAATACACACTAGAGACCGTCGTGTAAACTCACGTGATATAACGGGACGATCGAAATGTAAACTGTTGAAAGTCGCTGTAAAGATTATTTGCTACAGAATTAATTAAAAAAGGTCCAACAATTTCCTTTCAGTGATCGTTTTTACGTGGTATTCACGATTATAGAACGTAGCAATAAAACATTTCATGAAGAAGTTTAATCTTCTCAGACGATTATATTTATAAATTTCTTACCGTATTGTTTTATCCATTAAAGGCTCATTCGTATTTATCAAAAATCTGGCTATTACGTAAATAAACTTATCATTGAATATGTTACATGTTTATATATAATAACTTTTCTCATTTGCAGTTCAATTTTATCCAAAAAGATTTTGTTGAAAAAGAATATAAAATATTTCTTTATATTTTGTTTATAATATTTCTTTTATATCTTTTTAATGGTTAATTTTAAGCTTTCTAGTAACGAACATTTTGATATCAAATCAAAATAAAGTTTATTTAATCCTAACAATAAAAGAATAATATCAATATAAAACACAACCAATTGAAAAGTTGCTCCTCTTTTAGACTTAAAATCGCGCGTTTTCTAAATATATTGTATTATTGTATAAGACTTCTTATACTATATAACTTGATAGTTATAGGAAACTCACCTCTCTGTCTATCGTAGGCATTTATGCATTCGCTGGTCATAAATTGACTGATTAGGGCGGTTTTTCCGACTCCTCTTGTACCTAACATAGCAACGGTATGCGAAGCTACTTCCTTAGGCGGCAATCGCCGTTCCTCATTCTGCTGATCGGCAGGCGCCAAAGAATTCGACCTCGATCTTCTTCTCCTAAAAGAATCTCCTCTGTTGACAACACCTACCAATCATAAAGCGATTGTTAAAACATTATACATATGGATGAAAAAATATGCAATTGTAATTAAATTTTTATTTACACATAGAGAAAAAGTAAAGCTTCAAATAATTACCATACATTATTTTAATACAAAGATTTGCATAAAAATTAATTAATAATTATAAATAAAAGAAATAAAATATATAATTGTATAATATACATAATTGTATAATAATAATAATCTTTGTTCTTATTTGTTTCTTGTGACGATTATTTTACAAAAGGTATATTTTATAGTAATATTAATACTATAAAAAAGCAATGTTATGTAGGTGTAATTCTTTCAAAAGCCGTAAAATAAATAAAATAAAAATCCAATAACAAATAAAGAACAGTAACAAATCTATTCAAATATATTTTATTGATGTCAAAGACAACCATTGTAAATCATCAACGTCTTTTTTTTACATAAATTCTAACTCTTTCTTTGTGTTCCTCTCTCTTTATATTTCGTAATAATCCTCCTTTACTTTAATACTTATGTGCATATTCAGTTCGTTTACGTATTGATCAAATACATGTACCTTTTCATATCCACGGTGTTCAAAACACATTGTATATTCTAAACACCGACGTGCCCTTTACAGCGCGTTGACCCCAGTTAATCTCACTAATACTCATACTCTACGTGGGCACCATTCTAATATATGTATGCTTGGGATTGATGGAAGAAATGAGCATAGGTGGAATGGTTGAAATTCTCAACAGAGAATTTCATCTCTCAGTTAATAACGCAATTCTCGTAAAATATGAAATAAATTTCACGACTTTTGAAAGGATAACAACTACACATACATAACTCTGCTTATATTGGATATACCTTTTGTGAACTTAATCGGCACGAAAAACAAATAACAATTTTAAAAAATATGATTTGTATTGTTTATTGTTATTATACAATCGTAGATGTATTTTTTTGCAGAATATTTATGAAACATATTACAACAAAGTACGTTTAATACGATTCTTTTATTGTTAATAGATTTGATTAACAATTTATTATTAAAAACAGATTTACGTTTTTTTTATATTTTCTGGAAATTATTTTCTCTGAAAAACTAAATCTATCAACTGTGTCTTGATAATTAAACGCATTTAAAAGTTTAATGTAACGGACGCAAAGCATTCCGAACTTATACAAAGATCTACTGTTCCTAAGTTTATAGTTTGTACATTGCGTGGAAATGAATAGCAACGTCATTTGAGTAATGGATTCACACGGTTGTTCTCGATACCATTACCTATAAAGGTAATTTAACATGAAAATTAAATCGATATGTATTGGAATTTGTAAATAATTCTTAGGCAAAAGTAAACTTTAGCTATCGAACACGCTTCGTGCTAATGCATTTGCTTTGCATTAGTAATTGCATGTTAGGTTGATCTACAATAGCTAACAAGGCAAAAGTTGCACACCTGTGTACTGCGTGGTTGTTTTCTATACATTAAACATGAATTAGCGTACACGTAAGGAATTGATTTACTTCAAATAAAAGATTTAAACAATTAAAACATTAAAAATATGAAAAAAAAGAATGATTAATCAAAGCATGTATACGTAAAATACTAAAATAGTACAAAAAATTATTTGTTTTGACTGAATCTCTCTTTTGTTAGATTTTGGAAGCACTTTTATAAAATAAAAATTAAAGAATAAAAAAGCATAGATCTAAAACGAAAACTTTAGGTATATTTAAAAGTTCATAGACCTTAGATGATTCATAAATCCATTTTATCTGTGAGGTGATTCATACATCAGTTTTGTATCATATGTGTGAGATGACTCAAATCCAAGTCTCGCGTCTGACGAAATTACGTGTTGATTGAAGCAAAATATTCTGAAATTCGGATTGCTTCTATGTCAAAATCATTTTAATTTACCTCGTTGTTTTTGTGTTTAATTAAATTCTTAATATTATTTTATTTCTATACATGTGTATAATTACACACTGAATTAAAATTGTTGCAGAAATTCTTCATTTTCATATTATTGGTTTTGCATGGTACTGACGTCTTTTTATTGAGTCTAACAGTAAAGTCAATTATTAAAAGCAACACAATTGCATATAAGTATATCTTAGAAAACCCATTCTCTCTCTTAGCTCCTCTTTATAATAAGACAAACTTAATATTTTTTGCAGATGTTCCTCAGCAAACAAATATCTTTTATATTGAACTTGTTTTATTAAAAAGTTAGTAAACATATCAGTCAATAAGAATTACTCTTGTGATTGTATACCCACACCTTTAAGAAATAAATTTAGATTGTCAAATCTTAACCCTGCCAAAAAGTTCATCTGTTATAGATCGCAGTACACACGTGTAAAGCTCGTACATGATAACATATACCCGTATCCGCGTGCACATGTGCACGTGTATACGCCGATGTCAACGTGCGGCTGTCAACCGCTAGGAGAACAACGCACGTCCTGTTCAGCGACTCAGAACACCGATATCCCGTCCGTTCGTCTGTCCGTTCCTTCCCTTTGTCTCATACCTTTGTTAACGCGAAGTTTAGTCCGACATGTGTGCTACTTGTGGCGCATGTACTTGTACGTACGAATGAATGAAAGCGGGAGAATCGATCGTGTTAGAGAAAGAGAGAGAGAGAGAGAGAGAGAGAGAGAGAGAGAGAGAGAGAGAAATGGAGAGAAAATTGGACAGCGTCATACAACTCGTTGGAACAATCCGATTTCCGTTCCGACTTCGTTAAATCCGGAAGAAATTCGTATCACATTCGAGCGATAGTTGAACGATAGTCGAACGTTAGATGAAACGACAGCACAGGATTTCTCTCTAGGCGTCATTAACTATTTTTATCGATTGCAGCAATGCTGGTTTTGGATTTGGATGAGTCTGACCATTCACACAGCACGTGGTACGTAATAAATGACATGATATTGGATTATAATTAAGTATAAAATAATGGAGGGCTACAAATAACAAAATATTTTAAACAAATGTCGACTTTGAAAAATTATTCTAAAGATTTTTTTATATTAATATAATAATAAAGGCTTTTGATGTCACACACACATATATATATTTATTTTGATGTCACGATACATGTTATTTCAAAGGATTAAAAAAATATGATTTGCAACTGAAATGCCATTTATTAACTAAAATACGATTTTCTCCGTGATCCAATTATAGAAATGTATAAAATATTTTACTGCACACGTAGCTTTGATAAATGTATATCGTTATTTATGCGATATATATAATCGGATTGAAAATAGGTGTCGATTGCAGTACACCATTGATTACTACAAGGTAATGTCAGCTGACAGGAACGTGCTGCGAGTCACTGCGGGACCGTTATTTTCCACGTGCTTTTGATACAAATATCACGCAGCGCACGACTGAACTGCTGCGATGCAGCAGTTCAAGCTTTTGCAAAAGTAAGTTATTTTCCAGTGAAAAATGGGAAAGCGTCCTGCTTTAACTGTGCGTTCGTTCGCGCACTGGTTGGTTTTCTGACGAGCAAATAACTGGCACGACAAACACGGTACAGGTGCACCGATTTGACCATCGAATAAGTGAGGTAAATTCTATTAATAAAAGTTTAAACGTTTGACGTACGATCGGCTGCCAAATCGTTTTGCGCGTACTTAGACGCGATATCTCTGCATTAGAAATTATTTGTGAGAAGATTTCACGATACGCGATTAAATTCACTATCTTTTAATTTTACCATCACCATGTTGTTGCAATATATATCTAAATGTGTGTGGGTTTAAATGCGCACGTGTGTCTGTAACCCTACTTTTGAACCGTTACGTTCATTGATCCAAGATGTGTAAAGGCGACTTGTAGGCATCTTTTAGACTTTGATGTTGTTTTCATTGAATAATTTTATGGTAAATTAAGTAGAAAACTCTGTATCATTTTGAAAATATTATAATATATCTATAGATTAGTGTCGCTACATATTGCTACATTTATTAACTTATAATGTATAAAATAACTTTACAGTTTAAAAGCATTAGAATTTTTATATTTAAAATGGAGCTCAATATATACATATATTATAAAAGTATGAGTTTTATATCTTAAAATCTTTCGGTTTAATAACAACTTCCGCTTTTATTTAGATTTTTCTATATTTCAACATATCAGCGTTTGAATCAAATATATTCAGAACAGCTAAAAGCAAAACTTTGCGAAAGAAATTTCTTAGAGGTTCAAGAATAATGTAAAATGGAAGATGATAAAATAGTAACACATAATCAGTACAGTTTCATCTATATAAAAATTCATGTCACTTTGATATTTAATCTATATTTAAACTTCATGTAATACGTTCCAAAAACTTCTGATGACACATATTTGGCAGTCATCAGAGATGATAATCGAGACACTAACCATCTCGTGTCGTCATCTCTGCAGTCGCCTACTCATTTTTTTCTCGTCGGCTATCTGATGGGTTATCGGCCTGAAAGTCAGTTTTACGGCAGGTGAAGCGTGTTATGGAAAGCGCACCGTTGTACTTTTACACACTCTCGTGCTCACAAAATCGAATTATATTCCGATCGATATACAGTAAAGTCAATAGAAAGAAAGAATGAAGATATTGTTGACACCTTTTTTATACATATCGTCATTTTTCATTTAAACATTATAAACAAAAGATAAAAATAAAAATGTAGGGAGAGCGTTTCTGCTTTACGTAAAATTATTATTCAATGAAATTGATAGATTATATGAGATATTACATTATTAATTTAAATCGGGATTTGAAGTTATTAAATTAAATAGCTTTTATATTATACCTATTGAAATAGTTATTATTATAATAAATAAATTAATACTTAATAAAAATATATTTACCCCCAGTAAATACATTTGTAATTATTTACATTAATTTTATTAAAATGCTAATCTTTTTTTCAAAATTAAGCTCTGACGCAACATAAAGCACGATGACATTTCACAAAAAAAAGAATGCAGGGAAATTC